TCCTAAACAACCATAGGCTGGCCTGCACTCTCATATTTATTGCTGACATCACAAAGTATTTGTTTTCAGTTACTGAACAACTGAATCCAGCCCAAGACTGGAATCCTTATGAAAGGAGAAACAAACAAAGGAGGTTACCACATATGCTATGGCTCTGTGATAAGGGTAGGGGGCATTTTTCAAATATAATTCAGAGAGATGAGTGAAGTAAAAGGTGGGCTTGATGAGGGGTGGTGGTGAGTTAGAGTTCAGGGTTGCATGCATGGCTGGGTGCCAGAGAAGAGTGACCTGTGTAGTAGCAAAGTGTACATGTTATGAAGGCTGATGGTTGCCCACAAGTTTGGTATGAGCCATGTCAAATCAGTTAACACATATTTAGATCACCTGAGTAGTACTCAGAACTAAACTAAAAGCGTGATAAAGTGGTTCCATTCTACTTGGAACAGGTCAGACCACACATAGAGAAATGTAATGAGTTCGCTTTGCCACATCTTCAGTTCTTTAGTACACAGAAATTTTTAAATTATTTGTTGATTTTATGAAGACTCTCATTAGTCTGGGGTGTTTTTGTTTTTGTCTTTGTTTTGGGTCAGAGTTTTCCGCTCTTGCATAGGCTGGAGAGCAGTGACATGATCACAGCTCATTGAAGCCTTGACCTCCTGGGCTAAAGCAATCCTTTCACCCCAGCCTCCCAAGTAGCTGGGACTACAGAGGTGCACACCTGGTTGATCTTTTCTTTCTTGCTTTCCTTTTTTTTTTTTTTTTTTTGAGAGATGAGGTCTCACTATGTTGCCTAGGCTAGACTCAAACTCCTGGCCTCAAGCAATCCTTTCACATTATCCTCCCAAAGTGCTAGATTACCAGCATGAACTATCACACCTGGCTTGCTTTGTAATAGTTTAGAATTTCATACTTTTGTGAGGATGATCAAGCTTGAACCAATATAAGGGTGTCAAAAACAATGTATACATCTTTTAAGAAAGGAAAAATTGAATTAAAATTGTAATACTCAATATATACTAATAACAAAAGATGAATACAAGTCATGTTTGACTTCTGCAATTACAAGAGATGCTCAAAGTGGTAACCGTCAGTGTCCAGACACTTCTGATTATGGCAAACGAAAAGTAAAACATAGACATAACATCTCTTAAAATGTACATACATTTTTTTTTTTGGCACCCTGGTATGAGACTGCCCTGGGCACACCTTCCAACCAATCATTAATTATACTATGCATTTAATGGGAATGGGAGTCATTTAAAATTGTATACTTCTTTATATTATAGATTATATATAATCCATGCTGTATATAACAAATAATTTTTGATAAAATAAGGAATTTATTGTGATGTTCCACATTATATAACCTCTTGGAAACTAAGTTAAGCTACTTACAATATAGACAAAATAGACCACTTTAACTCAATAAGCAGCTATATGCGAGATAATTAATCAGTTCAGAAATTCTGACTGTCAACTTCTTTGACTGTTAACTGGCTAGCCTCAGGGATTGAGACCAGTCCTATGTTTGCACCATTCATTTTACCTATGTGTGTTACAAAAACACTCCGGTGGGAATCATTTTACACCTTGCCAGTTAAGTATGAAAACCTAAATTAAATAGGGTCATACTTCTACTTTATTGTACAATATCAAACATTCCCAGGCTGTTCATTGATTACCTGCCCTGAATTAAGTCATTGAGAATAGTAATATTACTACGTCTTACAAAAATTGCAAAGCTTGTGAAATGTAAGTCATTTTCATCTTACATCATGATATTATTTAATTAAAGCATCATTACCCAAAACTATAATGCAATGATTTTTAGGCACAGTTTTGTAATACTTTAAAACAGCTTCAATCAAATTTAAAGCTAGTACAGATTTATTCTCCTAAATCAGCTGGAAACAAAATTAATTTCAATTTAAAGTTGTCTTTAAAACACCATATTGCATGTAACATTTTATAAGCACCTCAAACCACAAAATTTTGGGAATGAACAAAGTATCTAAGAAATAAACTTTGTAACCAAACTAAGCCCTACAAGTAAAAAACAGGTTACAAGTATTCTCAATACCATTGTACAGGTTATTTTTTGCTAATGCTCTAAATAACACTGATGAGCTCTCTTTGAAGTGTCTCACTCCAGTAAGTTTCCTTAAAACATCCCTAACTTACAGAACAATATGTCCCACGAGGGGGACCTCGTGGGACATATTGCCAGATTCTGTGTATTCAAAACTAGAGGAAGCCTGTGTCACCAACTCCAGGGACTCAACACAACAAATCACAACTAAATACAGATGACAAAACTTGAAAGTTTCCTATTTCAATTTGTGCTTGGTAAAAGGACATAGTAGCTTATGCCATTGTTTCTTAATCTGTGACCCAGAAACCAAAATTGTAGCAACCATTTGTGCTGTTTCTTAATAAATTCAGATGTCTCTGATCTACGGAACCCATTCTCGGGTGAATCATTGAGAAAGGTCCTGGGAGAATATGAGATCAACAACATCCATTCCACAGACAGCATTTCTTCACTGGTTCTCTAGCATGAGGCAAGATAGGCTACAGGCTAGTGAAATTTTCCTATTTTATGAAACACATATAATTCTACTCTCAAAACCAAACTCTTATCATGATCAAAATTGTTGCATAAGAATCTGGGTTTCCTCCTGCCTTTAGTAAAAGGGAATTTATTGTCCATTTTACTTCTTTTACTCATTTTAAGTGAACACCAAACCTTAAACATGAACTACTCATCACTGCAACCCAAGCAAAATGGGGATGAATGCAATAAGCATTCAATAAAATGCAAAGCATATAAGTTTGTTGGAGGTGTTTTTTGTGTGTGTGTGAGAGAGATATCAGGTTTTTATGTTGTTTTTACTTAAAATTCTTCAGTGCAGAACTAGCTGATGACCATTGGGGGCACACTTGATAGATATCAATTGGGGTTTATTTTCTAATTATATAGAAAGTTCACATATATTTCAAACTATTATTATCACTTGAAAAGAAACTTGGGAGTTTTAAAATAAGTCAACAAATGAGAACAGCATCTATTAAAAATAACTCACTTATTCCACCTGGCTAATTGTACTTTATATTCTAGGAGAGTAGAGTACAACACACACTCTACATGTATCTGTTTTATGATTCTGATGCACTCAATACACTGCATCGCAGAGGCTTGTTAAAACTTCTGCCTTTTAGCCGGGCTCGGTGGCTCAGCCTGTAATCCCGCGCCTTTGGGAGGCTGAGGTGAGAGGATTGCCTAAACCCGCGGGTTCGAGACCCGCCTGGGCAGCGAGATCTCATCTCTACAATAAATCAAAAAATCAGCCGGGCGTGGTAGCGCATGCCTGTAAGTCCGGCTACTTGGAAGGCTGAGGCGGAAGGATCGCCGGAGCCCAGCAGGTCGAGGCTGCGGTGGCCGGGAGCGGCCACTGCACTCCAGTCTGGACGACAGAGTGAGACTCCGACTCAAAAATAAATAAATAAATGAAAATAATCCTTAGACTAAAAGCAAAGAAAAGAATTCCATAAGCTCCAGCAATTCTATTTTGCTCTTGCATGGCCTGCCTTTGCTCGCATTTTTGGCAAAAACAAGAATTAAGTCATCTGTAGATCTCTGCTACCCCATACTGGGAGCTTCAGTGGAAACAATGGTCCCATCTCCCAATCTCCCAACGTTAACGACGTTAACAATAATCATCTCTCTCAAAGTTTACTTGGGAGGAGAAACTTAAGAGATCCTGCAAATCTTGTTATCCCAAAGCGGTCCTCTCCAGAGAAGAGACCTCTTTGACCACACCTTTGTCCTCCTCTCCCTTTTTGTGCGGAGACAGCGACTCGAATTTTTTTCTCCGCATCTCTCATTTGCTTCACTCCAGTTGCAGAGAAGCTGCTGGTTTCTCCACGATTTCCAAAGCACACTCGTGCCCCTGTCGCGTTTCTGCCTCGCTCAGACGTTCAGGACATGTAACTCCCCACTTCCCCACCCATCCCCTCTCCCCACTATCACAAGAACAGCGATTACTGTTTCGGGGAGGCAGGGGAGGGCACCCCGATCCTCCCACGTACTCTCTCCGCAAGGCAGTGCCCCCCTAGACTGGTGGACCAGAAGAAGAAGGGACATAGGAGTCCCTCCCCTCCTGCCCGGCCTCTGACTACAGCCCGCACGCCCCACCCTTGCCCGGCGCCCTGGCAACCCGCGGGAAGCTTTGACGGTGCTCGGAGTCAATGTCCAGTGCTCATTTTCTCTTGTCCTCTCGCTCTTTCTCCTATAGTATTTTTGTCATCGATTTTTCATGGCGGAAAAAAAAAAACCCCCCAAACCCAGCTTAGAGCTACCGTCTCCTTTCATAAATATGCATGTGCTTTTCCAGAACCCTTTCTTCCCTAACAAATGGGAAGGGGGGTCTGCAATGCAAAGGAATCTCCTTTCAACCACCGACCAAGGTCGGTCTTCCAGTTGGCCAATTTCATTCAACACGCCCGCACCTACTGAAGCCTACTCCTTACCAGTTCAGCTTTTTTCCAGTTAGCCCTACTACCTGCTAAGCACCTCCTCCACCTTTTCGGGTTCTACTACCGCCCACATTAAAAAAAAAAAAAAAATCCAACACGCAAGATAGCGTGAAGATAGTGCGAATTCCAGAAAGTGTGCGTGTGCAACATCGTCTGAGGGTGAGCATCGCCCGCCTCCGCCTGTCCGGGTCCTGTACATGGTGGCTGTGAAGTGCAGGACGGTCAGACGGCTCAAACTTCTCCTGCCAGGCTGAGGCTGGGCCCTCCCGAGCTCACCTGTCCGCATCCAGGTAACTGGCGAAGCGCCCGTCCGGCCGCGTTCCAGGACACCTGGCCGGGACAGAGCAGACGCCAGCGAGCCACAGGGCGCCCTCTCCCGCGCGTTTGCTCCTGCCCTGGGGGGGCGTTCCGGTTTTCTTCCCGCGCCCCTTCCCCCAAAGACCACGGGGCCGCCCTCTCACCTCAAACAGGGGACCGATCTTGTTCTTCTCCAGGTAAGCCTGGATCCGGCTTTGCTGACGCGACGCCATGGAGGGACAGATGCGCGGCGGAGAGCGCGCGGGAGAAGCCCGCGGG